CAGTGATTCACACACTTTACTTACCGTGCCTACTGTTTGCATGACTCAATTATCTATCTCTTCAATCGCGCTGGTTTTTCTCACCAGGCTTATATACTAAAAAGAGGGCATCTCGATCAGACTAGAGTTGCCGATCAAATTCATGATCGTTCGAGAAACTCCAGCGCGCATGCTCCCAGCGTCGCGTGACTTCCGCTGTTGTAACACTGCCCCTTCCTTAGTATTGTTCGTCCAGAACAACAGCCACTTACATTTAAGTAATAGATAATTAACAATAACTTAATTAAATGTACATAATTTACAAACACAAAATTAAAATGCAACAAAGTCTCTTAATTTTACAGGACGTTTCTTCTTTCATACTGGTCTCCGTCTTATTGGCTTCTGCTTTATGTGGGATTCATCTGCTCCATCAGGAAATGTCCCATTATCGGTAGCAGTCACATCAGTGGTAATAACTTCATTAATGGCTTCACCGTTTTCCTTCTCAAAACCGGGTAGAGTTTCTTCTCTAACGAGTTTGGGGCAATGGGTCAGCAATGTCAATGGCTACTCGTTCCATTGGTGCACCAACTTGATATAACTTCATTGGGGCATGTCCCTTATGCTTTGGTCCCCTTTTTGCACAATATGTACTGCAGGTCCTGCACAATTCTTCCACATCTTGCCTCATACCTATCCAGTAAAATCTCTGCCATAGGTGACTCAATGTCTTCTTAACTCCAAGATGTCCTTCTGTTAAACTATCATGGGATTGATGCAGCACAACTTCCTGTAACTTTCTCGGTATAACTGTTTGCCAGGTCATCGCTTTCCCATCTAAGGACAAGAATACCATCTTCAAGCTTCGACTAGTCCCATTGTGCCCATTAGTTCTTTGTCACAGGGCTTAAGCTACACTCCTTCTCCCAAACAGAGTGCAAAATACTTACTTGTAGGAAATCAATTATTGGCTTCAAATCTTGGTCTTTCTCCTGTTCTGCTTTAATATCTATACTTGGTTCCACTTCACCATCATCAACTCCTTCAGTCACTTTTACTTGATGGCACCTGGTTAGTTCAACGTCTCTTTTAACACTTACCAGACTTTAGCCTTTGTTGTTCCTAAACGTCATTTTATCAAAGTTAACTACACACTTCCTCGGTAGTAAGTAGTTCAACCCTAATATGCATGGGTCTTCAATGTCAGCCAAGTATACTTTGTGTCTGTCCTTTATGCCCATGAGCTCAATAGTTACCCACACTGGCCCCCACAACCTTGTATAACGTCCTGTCACACCACAGAGCTTCTGTGTGGCTTCTGGTACTCCTTTGTGATCCAGCACCTTGCTATTCACAAGGGTTTGCTGAGATGCAGAATATATGACAAAGTTGCACTTTTGGCCATCCAGCTTTCCTGTCATGTAGACACTATGTGTGTTTGGCATTTTACACTTAGCTGTTTGGACTTTCACAATGGGGGTTGGTGGGTGTCCCTCAGCACTAACCACTACTGGTTTCCTGAAGCTGACTTTTTTCGGTAGTATTCTTCTTACTCTGTCTCTTCATATGTCCTTGCTCTCCACAGTTCCAACAACCTTTCTGGGTAGCAGCCTTTCCTGCTGTGACATCTTCCCTGTGTTGAAGTTACCGGCATTGAGCTCTCTTGTGCCCAGATTTGTTACAGTGCCAGCAAAGTCCCTCAAACTTCTCTGAAAGATGTCATTTTCTGGCCTTGAATCCTGATGACTATACCAACCTTGGTACCCCTGTGCTGGACTTAATGTAGGATTCGAATTCAAGAGCTCTGGCCACAGCATCCTGCATAGTAGAGGGGTGTGATTGCTTCACTTGTATCTTCAGTTGTGGACTGTCCAAGGTGTCTATTAACTGATCCCTCAGCAACAGCTTGAGGACATCAGGTGGCACAGTT